CTTGAGACTGTCCTGCCTCCCAGGTGGAAGGCCAGAGCTGGATCTTTGAGCACTGCTGGAAAGGACCTTTTGTGCTTTCAAGATCAAAGCAAGGATATGAAATGTATTCTAAGAATATGTACTCTGCACCTAAATACAGTTTTGAGATAACATTTGTGGTGAATAGAGTGCTCACAAGTGCTTGTGGGAAAAGGGGAATCAATTTTTCTGTCAATTCTGTTGTTTTAAATTACCCACAATAAGAGTATGGTACTTCAAAAGTTCTTCTTTACTTTTCCTAGGAGAAACTATAGCACAGACAACATTGAACATAAATCCACAACAAACACGTTTCCCTGATTTCCTCGACTGTCTTCCAGGAACAAATGTTGATCTTGGGACTCTAGAGTCAGAAGACTTGATCCCTATTCTCAACGACGTGGAGTCAGTGCTTAACAAAAATGAGCCCTTCCTTACCTGGCTGTAACCAAGCAATGCTTACCTGGTGCAATTCAGTGCAATTCAGGTTTCTTTTTCCTCTTGAGGTAGGCATAGAAAATCTGACTATCCTCAAGAGATACAACAATACCACCTTATTGACTTTTGTTACATCATCTTTATGGTCAGTTTAATATCTGTCTGGATTTGATTAATACTAATTTAAGTATAAAATGCATTATATATATATATATAAAACATAAATAGATATGTAATTCATTAAAAAAACCCACACAACTTTACACATCTGTGTACTTTTTTACCTTTTCAAACCAGGCAGAAACACTTCATTTTTAGGATAGAAAGTGACTGATGTTTGTGCACATCCCTGACTGATCTCCTGGGTACTGGTTGACATTGACAGACCCTTCCTAGGTCACTCGGTTCAAAAACAGTGCAAAGCATCAGGACATGAGAGAAGTTTTATTATTATCTTTATAACAATAGTATCAGAAGCTTTTTTAAAATCAACTTACTTAAGCCTTAAAAATATTTTTTAGTTCTTAGTAACGAACTGTTCTGTATGGAATACAGTTCAAATCTGATCCATATCAAGCATAATTTCCATTATATATTTGTGAAGGCACAAATAATACTATAGCAGTTTCTTTTTTCTTTTTTTTTCAGTAAATTACTGTATAGTTTTCAGAAAATAATTACTTCCAATCTCAAAGTACCAAAAATTTTTAGCAACATTTTTACACTACAATATTGTTACAAAATAAACCAGGCTGGTACTGACTGTTGCCTTTTAAAAGTAAAGAAATGTATTATAAACAAGCATTTAAAAAAAATCTTAGATTTTTTTAGTTTATTATATTAAGCACTACAGCTTTGTAATTTAACACATGAATAAGCAATTTTTTATATATATAAAATCTGTGGCAAGTGTCTTAAGTGCAAAAATATTCTTTTAAAATCAGTTCTAAAAATCAATTCTGGAAAATGTGGCACAACTTTTAATGTCATACATAGTGGGGAGAAAAACATAGGGGGAGGAAAAACCTTCCTCATACTGTTTTCAGTGATGTTTTTAACTGACATTGTCAAAATACATGTAGTTGTATACATGAAAAAACCCAGGAACTTTATCAGGGCACTGCTAAAGCAGAATTCACCAGGGACTCACCTGAGCAGGGACTCACCTGGTAAAGCTGCTTAGTTTTTATGTCTTTTACTTACCATAACTGGTGCACAGGACATGAGGCATGTGCTGTGTGTTTTTACCTGTTGTGTATCCTACAAAACTTCCTTATCAGAGGTTTGGGACTGAGAAGACATCAAGAATATTAAGCCTGCAATTCTCCTGAAATGCAAATTAAGTCCTGAATATTCTTAAATGAAGAATGAATGAAATGATCTTGTTTATATGTAATGGATTTAAGCATTTTGTATTGCAAAATAGGTAATTTTATGAAAGGCATTAGAACTTTTCTCTAAGTTTAATCCAGGCTATGTAAAGAGAAGAAGAGATGTAGCACTAAATGTAAATGTGTGTGCCAGGTCTGATAACACTTAACAAGATCTTAATGATGTGTCAGAATATTGACCCCTGAAGACGTTTTCACATCTGGTTGGGTGAAGGTAGGTGAAAAGGTCGGTGGTGAAGTGGTGGGGATACAGAGCAGATTTGGAAGACAAATGATGAGGTAATAAATGTAGATCCTTGCTGGGAGGGATGGCTGCAGACAGAGTACATAGCAAATGAATCTCTGGTATTCAGTGAAAAACATAACAGAAGCACTCGATACAGTAAATGAACTGCTAAGGGTACATGGTGTCACAGGATGGAAAATAAAAAGTGCACACACTGAAATTCTGAAAAAGGAGATGTCAGGCAAAGACCTCCAGTTATGAAGTTTTATTACATAGTAAAAGGTAGTTCTTAAAATTTTTATTTTTTTTTTTTAAATAGAAAAAGAGATGGAACAGCAGAGTTGTGTCTGCACAGAATTTTATCGCTGAATGGGCATTGTGTTTCTTTTATTCTTTTGAGGGGTTATTAGTTGGTTGTTTTTTTTTTTATTCTTGCTAGTTTTGCTAACTGTTGAGATAGCATAAATTTCTTTTGAATAAACAGGGGACTGGGTAGGGCTGACCAGTATTACTGTAATTAGTTTTAATCTCTCTCTTTTAAGGATTTCTTCAGATTGTCAGCCTAAATGAAGAACAGATGGTCCTAAGGCTTTGTTCTTTAGTACCATGACTGATGTTGGTAATGAATTGGAGATTTTCTGGCCAACTTTCAAGGCCACGTCACCAGCACTGCTCAGTTGGGGTAAGGAGCTGGCAGCCAGTGGTGCTGGAATGACCCACAGCAGCTGTGGATGTGAGAGCTGGTGTGATCCAGGTGACAGTGCCCATGACAGGTTATGTTCAGAGAATGCAGTTTGTTCCTTTGCTAGTAACTGCGCTACTGAACGTGTAAATTTGTCATAATAGAAGATGCTCTGAGCAGGTCAGGCTCGCAGCTGCTGGGAGTTAGCTGGTGCTGGTTCCTGCCCACCACGTGCATGGTTGTCAGCCAAAGGCTGTTCTTCATACAGGGAGAATGAATGCAACTTTATGGTGAAATCACATCAGGTATTTATCAGAATTGTGAAGCTGCAAGCTTGGTTTGTTTTTCATTTGTGTTTCTCGTGGTTGAGTGTCTTGGTGCAAAGACCTTAAAAGGGTAAAGCAATCATAAACTGTGTTTCTGTGTTACTTCCATAGTAAGCCAGCAGCAGATGTAAAACAGATCTGTTGCTGTGTGGAGCAACACTTCAGGTTGAAACAGCTGCCAGAATCTTGGGTTAGATCTTTGCTCAGTCATGAAACAAATCCTGGTTAAATTTAAAGTGATTCTTTACACTGACAGCTTTTAACTTTTGTAACGGAGATGATGTATCTGATGAAGTGCAATGACAATAAAATCTATTTTTCAAAGTTACCTTTTTAAAAAAGTTTCTGGCTTTAAACAGGATTATGACAGAACTTTTCAGTATTCAGAGCATATGTAATATGAAAATAAATTTATTGTTGACAATATTTCACTGTACTATTTCAGATTTTGAGCATTTTTGTACTAAACTGTACACTGTCTACTTGTAGTATAAATACAGCCCATGTTCCAGCTGGACAGTTTTGCTGTGACCATCCCTGAGGAGGCATATGTAAGCCTTGATGATACAAAAGTAATGGGACATGGTTAATTACAGTTTGTATTCTGGTAATACTGTTAGAATGTAACTTGGGGAGGTATTGGGTTTGACTTTTTGTTAACAAATGCTGTTTAGGGGAAGGATTTAAATCTATATTTTAATTACAGAAAAATGTGGGTTGTCCAAATAAACTTGTTTCCTAATGCATACATCTATGTACATGCTAGTTCTTTAACTATTTCCTTTTTTCATTTTTTTTTATAAGACTTGTGTGAGCATTTGTTTTTAATTTTTAGTACCTTGCAATAGATTGTATTAGAGGCAATCAGATCAACCTGTTGTATCCCGGGTTTGATTCTGTTTTGGTTTTTTTTAATTATTTCTTTGATCTTTTACATGAAAAAATACAAATGAACTTGAAAGATTTTGGATGCATATTGTTTTTCTAAAATAATTTCTTTGGGGGAGGGGGTGGGTTTGAGGGTTTTAGTATGGGCTTCCTAGGGAACTGTAAAACACTGCTTGGAATAAAGGTGTGCCATTATTATAATACTATTCTGTGAAAAAGGCGTACATTTCTAATAAATTTCTATTTCATTTCTAAATATCAATTTTATATTGTATATTGTATATTCAATTATTCATATTTGTATATTCAATTCAATATACATTTGAATTAAAATACGGGGGCAAAGACCTCACCCATATCAGTGTAATGGAAGAAGTCAGCCTTCCCACCCTCTGACAGCTGGAATGGCTCCAGGGTTTTGACATTGTTTGCCTTGCAGCTGGTTACACTATGAGTAATGTACAATCTACGAAGAGGGAGCTAAAGTTGAACTGGAGACAGGTGTTGAACATTCCAGACTAGAATGATGTGAAAAAAAATCCCTTGTTCTGCGCTGAGCAAATTTTTTTTCAGCATTTTGTATGTTAGTTCCTCGTTTAGAGATGAACCTTTTGCAAAGAGTCTCCAGTTAATGCATCACTCCCTGGAAGATGACATTTTCCTGTGGTTAATGAATCATTTTTCAGCAGACTGTTTACTGAAGACAATCAAAAAAGAGAACTAACTGTATATAGTTCACTTGTGCAGGGGCTGAACCAGTTTTGTCCTGCTGAAGTGCATGGACTCAAAATCACATGCACATGCTCCCCATGTTGTAATCTGAGCTGTTTAAATAACCAATGTACTTTACAATGTACTTTAAATAACAATGTACTTTACCAGTGATATCTCTCAGCTACGTGGTCTCAGCACCCTGGTCACCCAGCAGCCAATTTTTAGGGGTGAATAATGAAGCTTCAGCCATTATATATATATAAATACTGTGGGGTATTTCTGAGATTTTATGAATAATACTAATATTCTTTCTTTTGACTGCTATTATTTTTACTTCTGTATTAGTGTATGTTGATATTTCTACATTATTTCTATGATATTTCTAGTGTAGTCTTTAAGTTGGTCAGGGCTCCTGAGGTCTGTTAACACTTTCAGTTATCCCTGTTTGTGGCTTCTTTCTTACCATCATCTTTCTGTCCCTTCCTAGCATTGCACTCTCTTTATCTCTGCCTTCTTTTCCTTTACTGGATGCTTTGTTGACTAAAAACACAGAACAATCTCCAGTTACTACAGAATTGACACTGCAGATGTGTGTTCGCTTAAAAAAGCCTCAGATGTTAGGTTTAATTGAATAGATTTGGAAACACCATTGCTGGCACGTCAAAGTGTGAGTTCAGCTGGACTGCTGGTTCTGGCTCATTTACCCTTTTTCAGTACACCTGAAGGGCAAGGTGAGAATGCAGTCTGGCTCACAAGATGAAATGTGTGCACCTTGTGTGAGTATCTGCTATATATTAGCTCGTGTTAGAAAGCCATCATGTAGCTGAGTATCTCTTAGAAGCAGCAGCTCATTGGTTTTGGTTTTAGGTATCATAGCTTGTTGCCTTTTATTTCTTATCCCATCTCCCACAAAGATTTATCTACTCTGTTTATTGATACATCAAAGCTGTATGCTATGCAGCTACCCATCCCTTTGTTGAATGCTGATGAGAAACATTCCTTTTTCCCGAAGGCTTCATATAAATCAAACAAGACAAATGCAAGATGAGGTGCTGGACAGCTGCTCACCAGAGATGAAAGAATAGATGTGTGACCATAGCACAGCATGTGTGGAAATAAAGGGTACCTTCAAATTCCTGGGCTATGCAGCAGAACAGGTGGGACAGACAGCTGTTCCTGAAGAGTTTTTTCTTTACAATTTACCATCTTGTACAACATAATCCTCAGTACCTATATCAAACTGTTTAACATTTCTGCATATTGCTCAGGAGCTTTCAGTGCTTTTAAGTTCTTCTAGATTCTTCAGATATCTCCTAATGTAAATACACAGTACATGAAATACATTTTCTGGAAGCACAGGCCACAGAATCATTATTTCAGTGGAAAATTTTAGGAAACAGATATCAAGAAGCGTTGGGACATCCAGCCTGGTAAGCTGGTGAAAATTTGTTTCAGAATTTTTTTTAAAGAAGCATATTAGTTGATAGTTGACACCCTCAAATGTCTCCAATCCCTCTTATTTTCTCCTTTACTCCTTTGGGAGGTAGCTTGTTCTTTTTAAGTTTTAGAAGTTCTTTCTAAAAGGTATTTTTGCCTTTGAGCTAGCTCTCTTTTGTCTTTCCTATCTCTTCCATAGCATTGTGTCAAATACAGCTACTTTTTGCAAAAAGTTTAATAAACAGCATTTTCGCTTATATATAGATTGGAAGCTTTGAGGAGTTACAAGCTACCTAACTGACCAGAATAAAAATTTTATTTTGCCTGAGAATACCCTCTTTTTAAATGGAAGCTGTTTTACAAAAATAAATATGAATGTGAGACTTGTATTTCACTTATTTTATTCCATGATGAGGGATTTCAGGAAGGCTGGAAAGGGAGTCAGGGCTTCATAACACTGGTGGGAGGAAGAGCCCTTCATCCTCATCTTCTTAGCCAGAGGCAGTGCATCTGAGGGCTGCTTTGTGGAGCGGCTGCAGAAGGGATCCTCCCAGGGAGGGGAGAGTTGTCTGCAATATTCCTGTTCATCAGACAGTTCCATCTCCCTGGAAGAACGAAAACATGGAGGTAATTTCCTGACTAATATTGCTGTGACTTTCTAAGGATTGTATTACTCCTAATGGCAGCAGTGTAGGGTTTTGGCAGTATGTTAGAAAACACGATCATAGAGCTGAAGGAAGACAGGTTTTTCTGTCTGCCAGCTAGAGGTGCGTATGTAACTCATCAGTACACAAGATAACAAAGGAGAATCATCAGTTGCTCACCCCACAACAGCCACAGCATTTGCAGTCCCCACAGAGGGTTCCAAACAGGCCATTCACCATCTGAATTCCACAGAGCAGTCCCTGGATCCCGCTCATGACCAGCAGCAAGGAGAAGAGAGTCAGGTGCCATGGGACAATATTGTCAGGTGACTTACACAGGTTCCACAATGCATGGTCAGCAAGGTAATTCCTACAGGAGAACAACATAGTTAGCAAGAGGACAATTAAGTCCCAAAGGAGGTCTCTCCCCTCTGAGAGGTTGTTACTGCTGTGGCGTGGCTGAGGTTCTCTTCATTTGGGTACACACTGCTGCTACTTACCTAGAAATTGACTTCAGTTTAGTTTCTAGGTAAGTTGAAGCAAGTGATTTGAGAAAAAACAGACATCAGAAGGGAGCAAATTGAGACAAGTACATGTTTGTTACAATTGAACCATTTTTAGTGTTTTGTGAAGAAAAGATATTAGCTAAGCCAAGTGTGCCAAAAGGGTTTTATCTATTCCAATGTTTTGTCAGGGGCATTTTTGCTGCTTTTACTTGATTACAGTATTTTAGGGGGGGGGTGGGG